GGGGGTCTCTTATCACCAGTGTCCATTTCCTTTGCAGGAGGAGCGCCTCAGACGCGGGGACGATCTGAGATTACAGATGGCTCTGGAGGAGAGTCGCAGAGACACAATTAAAATTCCCAAAAAGAAGGAGGTAGTGCCTTTGCCTAAGAAATTCCCGGTTATGCTGCCAAAAGCTGAAATACAGTAACACAAACTTAGCTTAATACTGAGCTCTTTTATGCTTTTGGGTTTGCTTTGTTGTGTAGCTTAACGCTTCTTCCATGTGGGTTAAATTTGGAACTAGTCAATGCAGGCGTGTAAAAGGAAAAATAATAATAATAATAATAATAATAATAATAATAATAATAATAATAATAATTGCTTCTTCATGCTCACGTGTGTGTACTTCCAAGCCTGGTAAGGCTCTTGAGTAAAGCTCAGCTTATTCCTGCCCTCAGCACACCACCTTGTTGGACCTGATGGATGCCCTGCCCTCCTCGGCACCTGCCCCGCCCAAAACCGAGCCCTGGGGACCTCCTGCTGCTGCTGCCAACCAAACGGATCCCTGGGGAGGATCCACAGCTGCAGCCCCTGCCTCTGACCCCTGGCAATCATTTGGTAAGAGCAAACTGCCAGCAGCACTGGCATTTTCAAGGTTTGGCTTTTTAACCTTGAGCATTTCAAAATTCCTCGATGTCCAGCTTCTGTATGAGTCCATTTGCATTCATTTCACTAAATTCCTCATTTCCAAGCAGAAACCAGTGTCAGCTGCATTTTTTTTTAAGCAGTTGGGTTTCTGTGTGTGCTGTTTGAATCCTGAGGAAGAGGAGAGTGGCGCTTCTGTTGTCTTTACAGCAAAACCAATTTGTCCAACTCGTGTCTCCCTGCTGGTTGTGTCCTGTGCCATGGGTTCAGACTATTCCCAGAATTAAATCTGATATATAGGCAGGGTGCTGAGCTTAGTAAAGCCATCACTGTGAATTATCATGTCCTTAGCTGCTCCTGGAGAATTGTGATGTGCTTGTGTATGGTCAGAACCAAAATGATTAAATTAACTTAAATGAAGATTTTTATAGCAGACAAAAGCATGCAGGTTGCCATTTAAAATTTTTAGTGTTCCATAGGCTTTCAGTGCTAAATCCATGGAATATTTCTGAAGGGAAAGGTGCAGTGTTTCACATTTTAAAGACCAATGAAGCCAAATTTTTGTGTGTTGTTTTTTTTTTTTTTTCTCTCTGTGTGTTTTGCTGCCTGTATGGTGGGCTGATGTCTGGGTCAGCCACAGCCTGTCCAAGGAATTACTCCTTTGAAAGACAGTGGATGGTTTCTCACAGTGTAACACTTGGAACTGGATCTATTTTTTTGTTGGAATTTTTGACTTTTTTAAAGGGCAAGTGAGCTTCTGTGCAAATCTTGATGAAGTTTTCCATGAAGATTGACAGCTTTGTTCTGTCAGTTCTGCTTCGGGCTGGTGATTCTACAACCTCTGCTCTGAAATGCTTCCAAGTCATTTGCAATCCACACACCACCATCAGATTCCTGATGAAAAATTGGAAGTTTAATAATGAAATGCCTTGTTTGGGGATTTGTTCCCCTGCTCATGATGGCATTAAGGGCACCTGCAAAGCTCCTGGGCCAACTGCCAGGTCATCATTCTAAGCATCACCTGCTTTTATTTGGTGATAGGAACTGAGAAAAAGCCCAGATTTTGGGCCCTGAGGCCATTCAGTTTATTTTTCCATGGCTACAAGCAACCAAAATCCACTTTCCTCAAATCTCCAGCCTGATGTGTCACCCTCTGACAGGATTTTCCTTGTACCAGTTCCAGCCACAGCATTTCCTCAGTGCTTCCCAGCATTCCAACCTGCTGGATTCTCCCAGGGATAGTCTCAAAGATGCAAGTTTATGAATTTGCTGGTAAAAAAAAATGACTCATGAAGCTGCATTTCCCAAATCCTGCCAGTGCTGTGGTGTTCCAGGGGAGCTGATGGAAGCCCTGGGAAGGGATTTTCCCGAGCACTCTCATTTTGAGTGCTCCTTTTAGGGAAGAAAGGACATTTTGGGAAGCTGCTGGTGATGGGAAATGCTGTCATTAGTGTGGCACTGCTCCTAACTCAGCACTGGGGGCAGATAAAGGAAATGGGAGTACTGGTGTGGGAATCATGGGGCTTCCTTGGAGAGTTTTGGCATTTCCTGCTCCAGAGCTGTGCCTGCTGATGAAACAAAACCCAAAATTCCAGCTGGAATTTGTGCCACTGTGTGCAACATTCCTGTTTTACAGGAATATTGGGATGCCAGGGGAGTTGAATGGAGTTTTAAAAGCTAAAATAATTTTCAGTTGTAATTTGAAACCTGCAGGATATTGAAGGTAAGAGTTGTTACGTGTGGGTGATTCTGTCCTGCTCTCCTGGGCTATAAAATCCTCATTTGGGAATTAAACCTTTGATGATTGAATTTGTAGGAATGAAGAGTTGTCAGCACCTTCAGTAAAAATGAGAACCCTGAACATACAGGCATTGGATTAAAAATAATAAAGGGCTATCAGTGGGCAGCTTAGATGTGTGTCAGGAGTGCTTAGAAATGGGAATAAAAAAGCATAGCTGGCTCAGGGGAGCTGATTATATTTTTATAAAACAGCAGTGTGGTTGAAAGAGTTGGAAAACATTCCCTCTGAATCTTACAGATTCCTTTGTCCAAGGGTTAATGTTGTGTATCTCACACCTTTTACCTTTGGGCTTTTTATAAACTCACTTTCCCCTGAGCACATAAGTAGAGCCTGTGATTTAGGTCAGCTCCAGCCAGGGACTGTCACTTGTGGTGGCAATGTCAGGAACAAAGGCAAGTTTATTTTCTTGTTGGAACAGCAGCTATTTGTATCCAGGTTGAGAGAGGGGAGTTAGTTATTCCTCTGCCTTGCCCAGAATGTCCTGGTGCTGTTGTTGGTCAGCGTGACAAATGCTGGGAGTGGCTGTGCAGAGCTGCTGCTCCCATTAATGCTCGGTGTTAATTGGGAGGAAAGGCTCCTGGGAGGGGTCAGTCTCCAAGGAAAGCTTTCTGAAGGAAGCTGCACTGACTTCTCTTCCTGCTGATTCTTCTTGCAGGTGCCAAACCAGCTGCTTCTGTTGACCCTTGGGCAGCACCAGCAGGATCCACAGCTCAGCCTCTGGCCAAAAATGTGGATCCTTGGGCTCCTGCTCAGCCATCTTCTACTGCAGCAAAATCTTCTGTGGATCCTTGGGGATCAGCACCTGCAAACAAACCCCTCTCTACTTCTGGTGAGCAATGTTCTCATCCCATATCCACCTTATTTGAGTAATGAGGAGAAGTCCAAATGGTTTTCTTGCACTGTGTGGTTCAAAGAAGCTGGACAATTGGCAGAATTGGTCTTCACAATAAAAGGGACTTGTAATAACCAGCAGGAAAAAGAAATGTAAATGTAATTATTCGTCTTACAGCTCTGAATTAGTGGTGCTGCTTCGTGCTCCTCCTGGTATTTGTGGCTGCCTGCTGAGCACTTGGGACTGCTGCTGCTCTTGGGTTTTATCTTTAATTAGATAAGGACTTCATTTCTGGCAATGACTGATACTCTAATTTCACCTTTCCTCATGATAAATAGCTCTGCAGATGGGTGCCTCTGCAGATGTAGATTGACAGGTTGAGCAGCTCGGAGGAGACTTTTAGAGGTGCAAATGAAGGTTTGTTCCTTCAGACTGAGGGTGTGATACCCTCCCTGAGCCCTGGTAAAGATGCAGAAGGTGCTGCTGTCATTGTCTGTTCATGCTTTGTAACTAATACAACCTTGGTGAGTGTTAATACCTGGCATTTTCATATTGGCACCGTGGCTAAAAGCATCCAAAGTGCATTTTCTGCTCAGCATTCATCCCTGTACACAACAGACAAAGGAATCTGAATGCTGCAAAAAGTTCTCTAAGCAGCTTTTCCCTGGGCAAAGGGCAATAACTGGAGCATTGTGAAATGAGCATTTAGTTATGGTGGCTCTTTGTTCTTGATAAATATTGGTTTTATATTCAATTTTCACTCCTCTTGGGGTTTGTCATCTTGAGCTCTTCTTTCTTGAAATGTGTTAAAAGGTTGAAGGTTAAAAGTAAACTAAGAAAACATTTCAGCTAATTAAAAGTACCCACACAAACCTTAAAGCTGTTCAGGAGTATGATTGCTGATCATGTAGGTGATGTTTTGTGCCTCCAGTCTGAGGTAAGAGTGTGTCCACCTTTGGAAATGGTGATGTTTCCTTGATTGCAAACTCTGGGTGAGTGCTGGTGCTTCAGCTGGTGCTTTGCCATCTCCACAACCTTTGCTCTGGCATTCCTCCTCCTTTCCACTTGGGAAACAGAAATTAAATCATCACTGGTGGTGTTTTCCTTGAGGGCTAATTAACACTTGATGGCAGAGGCTGTAAATCCATTTCTGTTCTCTCCTTCCACAGCAAGATCTGCTTGCCTCTAATGCAGACACTCAATCAAGCAAACCCCAGCATGCTCAGGTGTGCCCTGCACTGATCCAAAAGCAAACTGCTCTGATGTAGTTGTTCCATGCTGCCAGAAAGGACAATTCTGTGACATTTTCCTTCTCCCAGCTCAGAGTAGGAGCACTCCCAGCTGCTGCCCTGGAACCCGTGGTGGCTTCTTGGTGACAGGAATGGGTTAGGAATTGCTTCCAGGCAGATCAGCTGTGTGATGCAACCCAAGATGTGTTAATGACAGGGCTGTCTTGTTGTTTTGAACAGGAAGTACATCTTTTGACCTCTTCAGTAATTTGAATGGTACAGTTAAAGATGATTTTTCTGAATTTGACACACTTCGAACTTCCAAAAAGCCAGGTACGATTCAAATTCTTAGCATGTGGACAGGTTGGGTGACAGTCACGGCAACAAATGTCTCTGACCTTAAATTTTACTGATCAAAAAAATCAGTTTTCACAAAGGGAAGGAAGTGATGATGCAGCAGTAACAGCTCCTTGTTCACATTTTGGCCTGTGCATGAACTCGTGGGGAATGGGCCTTTTGTAATTCGTGGAATTGCACCCTGTGACCTTGTGCTGCATTGACCCAGAAATTTGCTGGACTTCCTAATTCCCAACGTCCAGCATGTTTGGAGCAGGGCTTATGCTCAGAGACTCAACCAGAACCATGCTGACTGAATCTTTCAAATGTGTAAATTCCAGCAGGAAGATGAGAAAGTACCTTCTATGAATACTCTTAATTTATTTTTCCTCTGGTCAATGGTCGGTAAATCAAACTGCCAGACCCTGTCAGTGCTGTGGTACCTTTGCTCTCAGGATGGTTCTGCCTGAAGCACAGCTGGGCTTTTTGAGAAGGAAGCCCTGGCTGGAATCCAGCTAGGAAGGGCACAGCAGTGGTGTAGGGCCAGGGCACAAGCCAAGGCTGTGGAGTATCTGTTCCTTGGAGCCTGTGAGTCCCACCTGGAGCAGCAAAGCTGTGGGAATTCCATCAGTAGAGCGCTGCAACTCTGACTGTAGCTTCTTCATGCTCTGCTAAAGGACGTTGACCTGCTTGCATGCTGAGAGGGTGTAACAGCCTGAAACACTGAGCCCTGACTAACACAAACTTAGCATAAAGCATCTCTGCTCTCACACGCCGCTGGCTTCTCTCTGCCCAGCTCTGTGCATTAACCAGGAGTTCTCTCTGTCCCTTTGTGTTGTTGCAGCTGAATCAGGTTCCACTCTGCCCTCTCAGCACAGTGGTACCACGAGTCCTGATCTCTTTGAGTCCCAGCACTCGAGTGGGACAGCAGGCAAACAGAGCACGGCCCGGAAAACCCCGGAGTCCTTCCTGGGCCCCAACGCTGCCCTGGTGAACCTGGATTCTCTGGTGTCTAAGCCACCACAACCTGTTACTTCTCTGAACCCATTCTTGGCACCAGGTTGGTTTCTGCACAGTCCTCCACGTTTCTGTTTGAGCTTTCCCTTCCTGAAGGAGAACTCTGCACAGCTCGGTGCTGGTGGGGTTAAAGATGGGTGATCTGGGCTTGGTTTTGTTGGTTACTTCAGCCAGCAGATCGTGAGCAAGAGCAGGATGGTCTCGGGGAGGTGTCCTGGGCTCAGCCAGCACAGTGACAGTCCCTGAAAACACAAAGCCTCTGCTCCTGGTCTGCAGCTGAACTTCATTCCAGCAGTTCCCCTCACTCAGAATTATCTGTGTTAGAAGGTTTGGGCTTGCTAAAAATGGTTGAACTTCAGCTGCATTTTGTCAAAACAGGTAAGATTGCCTTGGGAAGGTAACAGGTAGGAGTTTCCTGTGGAAGAAGGTTGGATTTCCCTTTTCCTGGAGCTGCAGCAGGCACAGGAGATCTCTGACTGCAGCCTGAGGTCCCCGAGAGCAAACTCTGCAGGGTAATTCAGTGAGCTGCTAGTTAGTCTGTCTTAGGCCGGCACAGTGAGCCAGTTTTGATCTGAAAACACATTCTCAGTGTATTGTGGAAAAAAATTGGCTGTTGTAGTTCTCCTGCAAGCTGAGCCTGTTAGAAGTGAGCCTTTGCTTGGAGCAGACTGAAATGGTGACACCAAACATGTGGCAGATGTGTATTTTAAAAGCTGAATTTGCACTGATATTTTCCTGTGTTGCTCATAGGGTGAAACTTGGAAATGCTCTTTCAGTATTTATTTTCATCACTCTCCCAATGGAAGAAAAAGTCAATTTATTAAAATCCCTGAGTAGGAAAAAAGCAGTGATTCTGAGCAGCCTTGGCAGTGAGCAGGGAGAGAGAGGAAATCTGTGTATCTGCCCTTCCCGGGTACTACAAAAAGTTTGTGAGGGGTCACTGGGCCATCCAAATAATCCTGGGCTTGTACACTAAAAGGAATTTGCAGGGCTGGCAGCAATCCAGGGAACCTCAGAGGCTGGGAAAGTTGTGCTCTGCTTTTCTGAGCACCGCTGTAATTCGGAAACAAGTTGTTTACTTTGAGAATTCTTGTCCGAGCTCGGTGCCAGCAACACGAAAATGGAGGTGGCTGCTGGGAGCTTGGAGCAAACACACAAATCACAGAATCCCAGCATGGTTTGGAAGGGACCTTAAGAAACATCCCTGCCATGAGCAGGGACAGCTTTCACTATCCCAGGCTGCTCCAAGCCCTGTCCAGCCTGGCCTTGGGCACTTCCAGGGATCCAGGGGCAGCCACAGCTTCTGTGGGACCCTCAGGGAAGGATTTCTCCCCAGTATCTGATGTGAACTCACTGTTTGCAGTAAAGGAGCACAGAATGCTTGCAAAGTAACATATAAAAAATTAAATCAGTGATGTGGATGTGGTTAGACTTTTTGCAGGTAACCAAATTTGGAACCTGTGACTCCAGTCAGAGGTGGGAGCTGTGGGTCAGTGAAGGGGTGTGTGGCAAGCACATTTCTCTCCCTCTCAGGATTTTTCATAGAGGTGCACAGAGAGAAATGAAAGAGAAAACAATTTCTATTTCTGCTCCTCGTTTTTCCCATGTGGAATGTGTTTGGAGAATTGTTTCCCTGGGGTGATGCTTGGTTGGATTCTGGTGAGGATTGTTTGAGCCTGGTGGCCAATCCAACTGACCTGGGGCTGGGCTTTCAAGAGAGGGTCACGAGTTGTGTTAAGAGTCAGAGAAAGCAGTGTGTAATTTTAGCATCCTCCTTTTATATAGTATATTAATGTATAATAAAGAAATAATTCAGCCTTCTGAATTGAGTCAGATATGGTCATTCCTTCCCGTTGGGTTCGCCTGCATTGACAATAGGGGTGTTGGAGGCACTGGCTGCTTCCACCCTGTGTTCTGCTGGGGGGCAGCTGCTCCACAGGGTGTTTTGGGCGTGGGGATGCACTCGGGGAGTGTTCCTTGCCAGGTCAGCTGTTGGCAGCCCCTGGTGCTGACAGCAGTCCCTCACTGTCCCTCCTCTCCCCCGCAGGTGCCGCGACCGCAGCGACTCCAATCAACCCCTTCCAGGTGAACCAGCCTCAGCCTCTGACCCTGAACCAGATGAGGGCGAGTCCCGTGCTGGGCAGCAGCCCCTCCTTCAGCGCCGTGCCCCCGCTGAGCATGGAGCCAATACCTCTGTCTTCCATGGCCCCCGTGCCCGTGGGCATGGCACCGCTGCCAGCCATGGGCACCATCCGGGTGGGCCAGGGGCTGAGCATTGCAGGATCAATGCCCCAAGCTCTGCACAGTACAGGAATGCCGCCAGCAGCCTCCCAGGCTGCAAATACAACTAACCCTTTCCTCCTATAAAGACCCAATTAAAGGAACTTTTCTTTTCTTAGTGTTTCCAGGCTGAAGTCTTTCCAGCGAAACGAACGTGGCCTGTGTGGACTGAACGGTGTGTGAGAGACTTGGAAGTAGATTTGCAGTTTACAGTTATGATCTTTGAAGAGTTGTCTCTACTTACCAGTTAATCTAAATCTAGTCTTTGCTACAGATGGTACCTTACTTTGGCTTGTTGAGCATCATGTGAAATGTTCAGACTTTTCACCAAAGTTAGATTCTGCCCATTTTTGTTACTTTGTTAATCATTTCAAACACACTTTCTAGGGAGAGAACCTGCCACTGGAAAACTCCCTTGGCTATTTTGTAGATGTCAGATCATGTGCTGGATTCCTGAAGTTACTCTTCCCTGCATCTGTCACTTCCTCTGCCCGTGAGATAGACCTGAGGTTCCGAGTGCTAGTGAATGTTTTGCACATAACTACACACAGTTCTAGACTGTTGGTTCACCCATAGTCCTTACTCTTAGAAGAGACCGACCCGGAGGGCCCAGGGGGGCTTGGTTTTTATGCATTAAACATTGCAAACTCGCACTGCTTTGGTATCTCTGAGGTGTGACTGACAACAGCAAGCTTGTCTCGAAAGGAGAATAACACAAAACCCCAGACAAAACACCCAAGACCATGCTCGAGTTGTGCTGTCGTGTGCAGTGTTGAATTCCTACACTACTCTAAGGACTCCTGGAACTCTGTGAGTGGCTGCACTCGTGCTGAGTGAGTGTCCTGCTCTGTGCTTGTCCAGTACCAGCTTCGTTTGGAAGTTTTTTCATGTGTATTTTGTTTTTATTTGACTTAAAATGTGAGTTGAAAGAAAAAAAAAATGGAAAAAACAAAGAAAAGGAAAAAAAAAAAGAGAGATACAGTGGGACAACTTTGAATTCAGTTTCACCGGGGCAAGCTTTAAAACTAATTCAGGCTTAACCTTGCTATATGCAGTTACTCTTGTATACTTTTGCACATATTTTGTTTAGTACAGTTTCATATTTTGAGTTTGCAGAGTTACCTAATAGTCCTTTTTTTGCTAATTTTTATAATGTGGTTCTTATTTAACTGTCTGGTTTTGATAGATTTATCAAGTCTGGCTGAAAAATTAAGATATTGGCAAATGTCATTTTTATGGTTTTAATGCCCTCTTATTTATGGTTTTCGCTCTTTGTTTCTGTAAAGAGAGTTTAAAAGGGAAGATTAACACTAAAATATTTACCTTTAAATGAAGTATTCATAATGCAAATCAAAAACAAATCCTCGTGACTAATTATTTTTAGATGAATTGAATTTGAGCATAACATGAATTAAGACTACATTAAAAAGAAAAAACACTAAAGTCGCCTTTCCCTTGATTTGTTCCCATTTCCCAATCCCCAGACTGGACAGACTTTTAGCCTTGATGAAGATCCCAAGAGAGGCTGTTTGGTTTTATTTTCCTTGTAAAACTTGTGGAGCTGTTAAAAATCCTGATGTACAAACAGAACTTGTTTCATTTTATCCACTGATTTTTCCTGTTGGAAGGTGCACTCCCTGGGATAACTGCTTCCATGTCCAGCCTTCCCTTGGGAGCTGAACCATCCCTTTTAAATGAATGTTCATGTCTGGACTCCTCACCACGCTCAGGGGTTCTGCTGGAGCCCCAGCCCCTCCCAAAAATTCCATGGGAAGGGATTTTTCCTGCCTGCAGGGCACCTCTGAACGGACTTGGTGGCCTTTCCTTAATTTAAGAGGGGGGAAAACAGAATTTTCCACAGTTTGTTGTGGTGGAACAATTCCCTGTGGGGCTGGAGAGGGGCTGGATCCCATGGAAGGAGTGATCCCATGGAAGGAATGATCCCATGGAAGGAATGATCCCATGGAGGTAGTGGATCCCATGGAAGGAGTGATCCCATGGAAGGAGTGGATACCGTGGAAGGAGTGATCCTGTGGAGGGAGTGATCTATGGAAGGAATGATCCCATGGAAGGAATGATCCCATGGAGGGAATGGATCCCATGGAGGGAGTGATCCCATGGAAGGAGTGATCCCATGGAGGGAATGGATCCCATGGAGGGAGTGATCCCATGGAAGGAGTGATCCCGTGGAAAGAGTGATCCCATGGAGGGAGTGATCTATGGAAGGAGTGATCCCATGGAGGGAATGGATCCCATGGAAGGAGTGATTGATCCCGTGGAGGGAGTGATCCTATGGAAGGAAGGAGTGGGATCCATCTCCTGGTGGGAAGCAGAGGCTGAAGGATGATCAGATTTAGGGACCAGCCCAGGCTGGAGCTGTGCAGGTCAGGGTGGCTCTGGCAGTGCATGGAGTGCTCAGTGTTCCTGTGGATGCTCCTGTGCACATGTGGGATCCTCTGGAGCTGGCAGGGAGCATTCCCAATCCTTGGTTTTATAGAGGAGGGAAGAGGGTTGCTGTCCACGCCCAGCCTGTCTTTAAAAACAAAACCAAACCCCATTCCTGTTGCCTTTCAGAGCAAAGCAAAAAGACTTTTTCAGTTGTTGGGAAGTGTAGAGCAGGAAGGGTGTGATTCTTGCAGATGGGGGGGAAGGTGCTTTTTTCCAGCTGATCTCTGACAAGATTCCTCCCAGGTTGTTTTCCCAGTTGGATTTGACCAGCACTGGAATCAAGGTCACTGGGAGTTTGTCCCTTTGTCCCCTGAGCTGCAGCGGGCTGGGGCGTTGTCTGCCCAGCCAAAATCCTGGCCACGTCCTGGGGAACTTTCTAGAGGCCAGATGAGGTTGATAAGAAATATTTAAAGTGCTGAAACAATCTGCAGTTGGAGCTGCCACTGTAAATTTGCTCTGGGAGAGAGCCCTGGCTTAATGAAGCTGTTGAATGGCAAATTGTTGCTTTTCCTCCCAAGTCACTGCCCCCAGAATTTATCCCTTTTATATTAAAACAGGCACATTTATGGCACAGCAAACCCAAAGGAGGCTCCCTGAGGAGCCACAGCCCAAATCCTGGTGCTGGAAATATTTAGGCTGAGACTAACCAAGCCCAGATCCCAGCCTGGCACAGGGCTTGTGGCAGGAGCTGAGTTTGGGAGGAGAAAGAGCTGGTTTGGTGAATGTTCTGGGCTGGGCTGTGTCCCCAGGGGTGACACAGGGGGGTCACTGTCCTGCCTGGGGACGCTCTGAAGGGTCCAGCTCATTTTGTGATGATTTTCCTCCTCTGCAGGATAATCCTCCCTCCCTCCTGACCCTCCACATTTCTGGAGGATATTTGTGTGCCCTATCACATCCCTTCTGCCCTTTTTTCTCCATTTCCCCTTCTTCTCCTTATTTTTCTCACTTTGAAAATATTCAAAGTGCTTTTTTCCCCCCTTTTTGATTTTTAAAAACATCAGTAGCCCAAAATAGCATTACTGGTCAAATTGACCAAAGAGAAAAGTGTTCAATATCTTGTTTAAAAAAAAAAAAAAAGTTAACACACACACACACACACAAAAAAAAACACACACAAAAACACACACACACACTCCTTGGCATAATTTCCCCCTAAATAAGCTCAGTTATTTATTCAGTTTTATGCTCTAGAGAAACTCAGCTCTGTGGAGGGGCAGGGAAGGGAAGGCCTGGTGGGTTGTGGTGTTTACAGTTTTTGGGAGGTCCCGTAGCCAAGGCAGCTCTTGTTCCCCTTGTGCCCCTTTGCTGTTCCAGCTCGAGGTGTTCTCTATGCCTGAATATTGCACAGGTGGGGAGAAAAGAGGAGATTTCTTTTTCCCAGCAGAATCTCACACAACTCTTCCTCTCCAAGTGTTCCAACATTTCCCAAACTGCTCATAACCCTGGGAGCCAGCTGCTTTTTCTGGATTTGTGCTGACTATTGCCATTATTTACTGTATAAATAATTTATCATTTGTACTATTGTATCATAATGTCTGTATCTTTGTGTCTTTTTTTTTTTTCTCCCCCCCCCCCAGCTATGTCACAGATGTGCTACTTAAAAATGCCATCAGAACAGTGGAAAGACGAGGGGTTTGGAGGTGACTGGTCAGAATTAAAATTGTATTGCTTCTATCCCAGCTGTGTTGCTTTTTCCAGGCTTCTGCGTGGTGTTTGTGCTCCCTTTGCCACCCAAGCCCTGCTCGGTGGAGCTTGGCAGGACGGGTTTGGGGTGAGCTGCTGGAAGGTTTGTGGCACGAGGATTAATCCATGACTTTTCCCAGGACGGGCTGGGAGAGAGGAGGGTTTCCATGGCTCGGCTGAGACCTCAGTGACTCAATAAAAATGCAGATTTGTTGTGCTGCAGGTGACCAAATTCCTTCTTTTAACCACGCTGCCCCTGAAGAGCCCCGTGGAGGGAGCTCGGAGCTCGCTGGAGCCTCTGGATTTGTGTCCAGGCAGGAATTTGGGGAAGGGGGCTGTGGGAGGAGGGTTGGGACAGGAGCTGGGCGCTCCTCAATTCCCATTTTTGTAGCTCAGCCTGGGCTCTGTGGCTCTGCTTCCAGCCTGGGAGCGAGCCAGGCTCTCATCCCGGCTGCCTTAATTAATGAAGGGCACTTCATTAACACCACCGGCAGGAGCTGCCTCTCCACAGCCCCTCCAGCCTCCCTGCTTCGTTTGCTGCCAATCAGGCTGATCACTAATCAATGCTCACTAATTAATGCTGGAGCTGTGGCTCTGGGGAGAAAAGTCTGCTTTGGTGTCGGCTGCCGAAGCCCCGGGAACGCTCCGGTGTCCCTGGAGGAGCCGGGGCTGCCCCGGGTCCCTGGCAGTGCCAGGGCCGGGCTGGGCAGGGCTGGGGCAGGGCAAGGTGCTGGGCTTGGCAGTGGGTGGGCTTCAGTGTCCCTCCCCACCCAAACCCTTCTGGGATTCTCTGGTTCTGCTGCTGCCTCGTGGAGCTGCGCGCTGGCAGCGGGACCCGCTCGGGAGGCTGAGGCTGGGGGCTGTGGTGGCTCAGCTCTTTGGAGGAGGTGGATTCTGGGCAGTTCTGGTGGGTTCTGGGCAGTTCTGGTGGGTTCTGGTGGATTTTGATGGGTTTTGGTGGATTTTGATGGGTTTTGGTGGATTTTGATGGGTTCTGGTTGGTTTTGATGGGTTCTGGTGGGTTTTGGTGGATTTCGATGGGTTTTGGTGGATTTCGATGGGTTTTGGTGGATTTCGATGGGTTTTGGTAGATTTTGATGGGTTCTGGTAAATTCTGGTGGGTTTTGATGGGCTTTGGTGGATTTTGGTGGGTTTGGATGGGTTTTGGTGGATTTTGATGGGTTCTGGGGAGTTCTGGGTTCTGGTGGATTTTGATGGGTTCTGGTGGGTTCTGGGGAGTTCTGGTGAGTTTTGGTGGATTTTGATGGGTTTTGGTGGATTTTGATGGGTTCTGGTAAATTCTGGTGGGTTCTGGTGGATTTTGATGGGTTCTGGTAAATTCTGGTGGGTTCTGGTGGATTTTGATGGGTTCTGGTGGATTCTGGGGGGTTCTGGTGGATTTTGATGGGTTCTGGTGGATTTTGATGGGTTCTGGTGGGTTCTGGTGGCTGAACTGAGCTGCCCCAGCCCGTGCTGAGCAGAGCCGTGCCCGTGGTGGAGCTTTCTGCTGAGCTTGCAGAGCTGCTCCCCCATCCCACATTTCCTTTTCCTCTTCCTCTGCAGAGGGGTGAGGAGGATTTGCCCGCCCTGCAGAGGAAGAGGCCTCTGGATAAGGATTTATCTTCTGGCTTCCCCTCGCCCACGCCGCTGCTGCGGGGACTTTGCTGAGGTTTGTGCTGGGCTGAGGGTGCAGCTCTGCCCCTTCTGCTCTTCCTGGAGCCGTGGGGACAGGGCTGAGCCCATCCTGTGCTCTGCCTCTGGCACGGCCTCCGCAACACCCTGCGAGCTGCATTTTGGGGAACCAGCAGGATTTATGCACTTCTCACGTTCAAAACTCCCGTATTTTTCAAGTTAACTGGAAAGGTCACCTTTCCCCATTTGTGAGTTGGATTTCCTGAGGACTCCTGCTTGGTTTGGGAGCTCGGGACGGGGAATGGTGAAGAGCCAGCGTGGGATGTGGTGGTGGCAGTTCTGGTTTTGTTGATTGTGCCCTGTCACTGTTGAAGCTGAGGAGCTGGAAGTTCCCCTTGGTGCCAGGGAGGTTCAGTGGCAGGGTCTGGTGATCCATGGGGAACTGGGAGGAGGTAAAGGAGGAATGTGGGGATTCCCTGGGGGGACACGGCCCATCCTGGGGCTGTGCAGGGACTGAGTTGCGGGACCCTCACGGTTTTGGGAAATACCTCCCTGAGAGATTAAAGAAAATCCCACAAATGTCCCCGTGGGCAGGGACACCTCCCGCTGTCCCAGGCTGCTCCCAGCCCTGTCCAACCTGGCCTTGGACACTTCCAGGGATCCAGGGGCAGCCACAGCTGCTCTGGGCACCCAGTGCCAGGGCCTCGACCTCACAGCGAGGAATCTGTTCCCCAAATCCCATCTAGCCCTGCCCTCTGGCAGTGGGAAGCCGTTCCCCTTGTCCTGGCACTCCAGGGTCCCCAGTGTCCTCAGGCCAGCTCACATCGCTCTGCCTCAGCTGCTCCTGCCACTGGTGGAGCAAACACCTTCCCATTTCAGGTGAGGGGAAATCCATGACGCCTCAGACCACCAGGATAAAGCCGGAGCAGAGGTGGGTTTGTGTTCCCAGCTCCCTGCCCGCTGCTTCCCGACAGGAAACCTGGCTGGGACACGGCCGAGACCCTGCCCGGCAGGAATGGCATCCCGGCTCCTGCCTGTTTGACCAGGAGAGCTGCTGGGGTCAGAGCTCCACCCGAGCCAGGGGGATGTGGTGGAGCAGAGACCTGGGATTTCCCTGTGGAAAGGAGCCCCGGTGAATCCACCCCCATCCCGGTGCCTGCGGGATCCGTGCCTGCGCTGGGCTGGCCGGGCTGCAGGAGCAGAGGGAGGCCAGGATCCTCCACAGGACCCTGACCCGGCGTGGGCTGATCCCACTCATCCATTCCCAAACCCTCCCGATCCCTCCCATCCATCCCAAACCCTCCCGATCCCTCCCGTCCATCCCAAACCCTCCTCCCGATCCCACCCATCCATCCCAAATCCTCCCTATCCCACCCATCCATTCCCAAACCCTCCTCCCAATCCCACCCATCCACTCTGAACCCTCCTATCCCACCCATCCCTCCCCAGTCCTCCCGATCCCACCCACCCATCCTGATCCCTCCCGTCCATCCCAAACCCTCCTCCCGATCCCACCCTTCTACTCCGAACCCTCCTATCCCACCCATCCCTCCCCAGTCCTCCCGATCCCACCCATCCATCCCAATCCCACCCATCCATTCCAAACCCTTCTCCCAATCCCACCCATCCAATCCAAACCCTCCTGATCCCACCCATCCCTCCCCAGCCCTCCTGGAATTCTCCACAGCACCACGGCGGAACCACCTCGAGTAACGCCGGCGATGGAAAACCATCAGACACCTTCATGTCCTTCTTCCCCTAGAACCTGTGCAAATCGGGTCTGACTCCTTCCTAAAGTGCTTTTTGTGGCCATGGAATGAAATCCGTGGATTTTCCAAGCTCCAGGGAGGCGGCTCTGCTGTGCTGTAGCAGCCCTGGAGGCCGTGGGCTGCCCGGGGTTGTGTTGGGTGATGGTGGAGGAGGTTTTTTTCTGATTTCTTTAATATCTTCATCAGCAAGTCTGGCACTAAATGGAGTGATGATATTCTCTGAGGTGAATTTGGGTACTTAAATATCCTGGCCTGAAAAGGGAGCCAAAAATAGACAGCTTCAGCAGTTCTGTGTGTCTGCTGCTCTTCCCTCTGAAGGACGAGGCTGGATCCCTCAGATCCTGCCGGGAATGCAGCTCGTGCTGTTCCCTCCCTCCCTCCCGGGGGCTCAGCCCTGCTTCCCATCCCGAAGGAGCCCAAAATCCAAGCCCAAAGGATGGGTTCTGAGGGATTTGTGCTGCCCTGTGCTCCCAGCCCCAGCGGGGCTGCACTGGAGGCTGCTGGCAGCGCTGCAGCCGGGTGGGAGCTGCAGGTTTGGGAGATTTTGCTTCCAAAAGTGGAGCTGGCTCCCAGGTTTGCAAATATCCACGAGTGTCTCGGAGCTTGGGGCTTGAGCTGCCCCACATTTGCCTCAGGAAAATCGCTCAGGGATCCCCTCTGCCCCCGGGGTGGGTGTTGAGAGGGGACAGGGTGGGACCAGGGTGGCTTTTGCCCACCCTGCTGGGGGTGGCGTGGTCTGGAGAACATCCCAAGCTGGAGCTGGGGCTGCTCCAGATGTGCTGCTCAGGAGTGCCCGGACCTTGGGCTGGCTGCTGGGGGGTTCTCGGTGCCCTCGGGGGGGGCTCAGGTCTGAGGGACCCCCTGGAGATGTCCTGGGTGGCTTCTCCAGGGCCACCAGCCCATCCAGCTGCTGCTGGGGCTGCCGGCCCCAAGGGGAGAGGTCCGGGGTGGGGGTCCCAGGGTGGGGGTCCCAGTTGGGGGTCCCGGGTTGGGGTTCCTGCTGTCCCCAGTCTGGGTGTCCCAGGAACGGGGAATGCTCCACGCTGGGGGTGCCAGCCTGGCTCTACCCCTGCTCCCACCCCGCTGCCCTGTGACCCCCCAGCCCCGTGTCCCCCCGAATCTCCAGTGGCACAAACGGGAGGAAACACTACAAACCTGTCAAGAACTGGAACTAAATCCTCAATTTTCTTCAAATGTGTGGCTGCTTTGTGTTTGAGTGTTTGATTTTTTTTTCCTATTTTTTTTTTTTTTTTCCTTTTTTTCTGTGCATTTCACAGATCTCCTGCTCCCAAGCCGACACTGCTGCTGTCAGCTCCAATCCGTCTCCTTTTCAGACGGAGATCATTCCCAGCTGGTGGAAAGCAGCCTGGCAGCCTCGGGGGGATGCTCAGCCCCCTGGCGCAGCAGCCTCGGGAGGTGTTTGCCCCCCGCTCCGGGGACAAGGGGCAGTGCCAGGGCAGCCAGCACGGAGCGACCGCCACGGAGGAACGGGAAAAACTCGGAATTCTTCATTCAGCCCCGCAGTTAATTGGTATTAATCACTTCCAGCGCTTCCCTAAAGGTTGGGAGCAGCCACGAGAGGGCAGGAGCTGCTGCTGCTGCTCGGTGGGAAAGGCGCTAAACAATTCCTAAGGATTATCCGAATTATTTTCCTTTTTCTGGAGGGTTTGATCCTCAAGCTGCTGTTCAGTCCCAGTCCTTGGCTGTTCCCTGCCCGCGAAACAGCAGGAAAACTCCCATGGAGTGAATCCAAAGCCTTTCTATTGGAAACCCAGGTGAACCCACTGGGCAGAAATGCTGATGTCTGACTCCATTCAGAAGGCTGAATTATTTTATTATAACTATGCTAAAATACATTAATATACTATCTAAAAGGAGGATACTAAAACTACAAACTACTTTCTCTGACTCTAACACAACTTGTGACCCTCTCTGAGTCCAGCCCCAGGTGGGTTGGATTGGATTGGATTGGATTGGGTTGGGTTGGGTTGGATTGGGTTGGGTTGGATTGGATTGGGTTGGATTGGGTTGGGTTGGATTGGATTGGGTTGGATTGGATTGGATTGGATTGGGTTGGGTTGGATTGGATTGGGTTGGATTGGATTGGGTTGGGTTGGATTGGATTGGGTTGGATTGGATTGGATTGGGTTGGGTTGGATTGGATTGGATTGGATTGGATTGGATTGGATTGGATGGATTGGCCACCAGGCTCAAACAATCCTCACCAGAATCTATCCAAGCATCACCCCAGGGAAACAATTCTCCAAACACATTCCACATGGGAAAAACAAGGAGCAGAAATAGAAATTGTTTTCTCTTCCATTTCTCTCTGTGAAATACCTCTATTAAAAATCCTAAAAGGGAGAGAAATGTGCTGGACACACCTTTCCAGGACAGGAGAGCTGCAGAGACCCCGAACATCTCTCTGGCCTCGGAGCCCCTCCTGTGGCAGAACTTGTTCTCCAGGAAGATTTTTCCCTGCCTGTCTGGAATTTGGAGGATAATCACCAATAAATGACACAAGCAGAGCTCCAGCTGAGAGGTGCTGCTCTTGTGGGGTTGGGAATTCCAGGGCAGGTTTGGAGGGAAGGGAGAGAATGATTAACCAGGAAAGGAGCAGGGTGTTCCAGCTGGGTGAGAGGAAATCTCCGTGAGCCCCTGGCTGCCCTGGGACCCATGGACAGAGATCACAGCCAGTGTCTCTCTACAGAGCCCCCAGAGACACTGGCTGTGATCTCTGCCCATGGAAAAGAGTTTTCAATCTTACAGCATGAATTACCAGCTCTGAGGGTTTGATATCAGTAATAATCAAGTGTGGCACGGGTGCAAAAGTAAAATTTTAGGATTCTAGATGAGGGGTCCAAAGGGACAAGATGGAGGAAATTGGGTGTGCCTTGTCCTTTTTCTCCTTCTTCATGCCCTCCATGTCTCACTGTGGTGTTGGCATTTTTCTGTTGGTCCAGGCTGGGGACACACTGTCCAACGTAGGTGACAGATATTGGCACGTTATTGTAAATGCAGCCCAGGGAGTTTCTGGTATTTAATGTTTGTCACATCCCACTGAGGGCAGAGCCCCACACGCTGCCCTGCAGGACAGAGCTGGGCAGGGCAGCAGAACATGTGAGAGATCAACAGAATAAACAACCTGGAAACCAGCACAGATAAATTACAACTTCTTCTTTGGCAACAGAACAGAAGGACAGAGACTTTCTACAATTTTGGGATCATCAATACCCCAAATTGGGATTCTGACACTGTCACACCTGAGGAGCAAAGGCTTCAACCAGACAAGGACAAAGGCAGCAGCAAGAACATTTCTGGGAGAGGTTTCTGAGGGATATCTGGGGCATGGGAAACTCCAAACATCTCCCCTGGGTGATGCCCTCAGGGAAACACTCACAGGGAACTCAAGGAAACTTGCCCAATCCCTGGGGAAGGTAAGTGAAGCTCTCAGATGTGCTCAAGCCACTGAGGAGCCCAAAACCACCTCAAAATCCAACAAAACCCTGAAAAAAATAGGCAAAAATCCCTAATAATGCAGGTGGCAATGTGGGATCTGCTTAGAGGGCAGCTTAAATACCTCAAGGTTCTTTAATCCTGTTTTATGGAGTTTAGGGTTTTTACTTTTCATTTTTAACCTCCCTTCCCCTCAGCTGTCAGGGGAAGCTGGCTCAGGTCCGGTTGGTGCCACGGGGGCGAAACACCCCAGAGTTCCTTTGGAACAGGAATTCAGGGGTTTGGAGCAGCAGGAGGAGGAGCTGGCTGTGAATAAATCCAGGTCTGGGCTGTGCCAGCTTTGCTGCAGTTGGAATGTGGGCAGGAACTGTGCTCCAGGGGAAACTGGGACTTCAGGCAGCAGCAGGAGGTGCAGTGTTTGCCTCCCAAGCCTTCCGAAAATATTTATCCTGCTTCCCAAACTTCTGAAAAGGAAACAAAATTCCTCAAAGTCTCCTCTGAGCCAACAGGAAATGCTTCTGACTTTGGACTGCAACGTGACTCACTTCAGAGATTACAAATGACCAAAACAACTCCATTGGAAGTGTGGAGTCAACAAAAACAAGGCAGGAGATGAAAAATTATCCCTAAAAACGTTTGGAGAAGTATTTCTAGGTCAGATAAAAGGTGCTGCTGCTCCCAGCAACGTTCCAGTGACCACTTTTATGTTTTCAGAAATTAAATTTATTCCACCCCACAGTGGATCAGAACAATCTCTGCCTGGGTGTTTTGTTGAGCTGTGTCCTGGAGGATTTGTGGCTCATCCCTGGGTGTTTTTCCTGGGATTTCTACACTTGGAGGTCTTGCTAGTTCCCTTTTAGGGAGATGGCGTTGTTCTCCTGGGATTTGCAGTCAAACACAAGAGGTTACATGCCCAAAATGAAACAGGAAAATGACTCAGCAATTAGTCACTGCATTGAAACACTTCTTTTTCTCTTCTACCTTTAAGTCGAGCAGAGCTTGGATGATTTAGGGCTTAAAAACATCCTGGCACAAACAAAGAAACCCCTTTAGCAGCAGAAAGACAAATGAATCTATTGATACAACAGAGTTTATTCAGCCTAAAAGAGCTCAGAGGGGAATGCATTTCACAGGACCATTTTGGGAAGGTGCAATAATTTCAATTCCTCATTTGCAATGCAAAAAAAAAAAAAATTAAAAATTAAAAAAAAAAAAAAAAAAAAAAAAGCCATTAAAAAGAAACTATGTTTGCAAAGTTTAACTGCAGGGAAACTAATACAGATCAAAACTTTTTGTGTCATTAATTCTACAAAAAGGTGTACAAAAGGCTGCTATAAAAATATTTTGTTACAGGCCTTACTCTGAGACAGTCTAACCCCTAAAAACACTGAATAAAATACAATATTGATCCATAAAACACTGAATGCTATCAATGACATCAATTTCCACAATACTTTAACATTACTGACAGGATTAGGCTTGGACATCATCCCAAATCCTCCGGGGTTGGTGTTTGGAATTGCACACTCCAAACTCCAAATCCTCGAGGTTGGTGTTTGGAGTTGCACACTCCAAACTCCAAATCCTCAAGGTTGGTGTTTGGAATTGCACACTCCAAACTCCAAATCCTGGAGGCTGGTGTTTGGAGTTGCACACTCCAAACTCCAAATCCTCAAGGCTGGTGTTTGGAGTTGCACACTCCAAACTCCAAATCCTGGAGGCTGGTGTTTGGAGTTGCACACTCCAAACTCCAAATCCTTGAGGTTGGTGTTTGGAGTTGCACACTCCAAACTCCAAATCCTCGAGGCTGGTGCTGTTGGGCGTTGGAGTTTCCCTGGAAGGCCCCGGGAGCTCAGGCCTGGTGCAGCCCCTGCGGTCCCTGGCCCACGTCGTAGCCCAGCTTGTGCAGGTCTTTGGTCATCACGTTGAAGGAGACGGTGACGAAGCCCTGGGAGCGCACCCGGGTCACTGGCAGGGAGGGAGGAGCCGTCACAGGAGGGTTGGGGCTCCCTGTGGAGCCCCGGCATCTGCCAGGACCCAGCTGCAGCTGCCAGGACCCAGCAGCAGCTGCCAGGACCCAACAGCTCCAGGACCCAGCAGCAGCTGCCAGGACCCAGCTGCAGCTGCCAGGACCCAGCTGCAGCTGCCAGGACCCAGCACTCACCTTCCCGGCCTTCACCCCGTGCCACCACCCTGGGATCTGTGAACTCCGGGCGTCTCCCCGTGAACCAGCTTGGAGGAGAAAAATACAAATTATTAATGCAAAATACAAATTATTAATGAAAAATACAAATTATTGAATGCAAAATTAAAAATTATGAATGTAAAATACAAAGAATGAATGCAAAATACAAATTATTGGCTACAAAATTAAAAATTGTGAATGCAAAATACAAATGAACGAATATGAAAAACAAAACCGCGAGCACAAAATAATAAATTATGAATTCAAAATACAAAATGATGGAAGGCAAAATATAAATTATGAATACAAAATACAAATTATTGAATACAAAATACAAATTGATGAATGCAAAATACAAAATACAAATGAATGAACACAAAAACGAAAGTAAGGAATACAAAAAGCAAAACAGTGAATACAAAATAAAAAATTATGAATGCAAAGTACAAAATTATGAATACAAAATACAAAAAAAAATTATTGAATGCAAAATACAACATAATGAACGCAAAATACAAAATTATGTATACAAAATACAAATTAATGAACACAAAATACAAATTAATGAATACAAAATACAAATGATTGAATATAAAATACAAAAATAATGAATGCAAAATACGAATTAATGGATTGGGTGGCTGAGAGTGCCCAGGAGGGTTTTGTAGACTGATTCTTTTCATTGATCTGCTTCAATCAAAGGTAAATTTTGCCTTAAGGAAAAAAACTGCAACTGATTTCACACAGATTTTGTTAAATCCAGGGTTTTTTTTCTGGGGTAAAAGAATCTTTCTGTGGCAAAGATGTTGTTGAAAAATTATCCCTGACCACCCAGAGAACCACAGAGGCTTTGAGACCTTGAATTTCTTTAAAAAACTTGGATTGGGAATTGTTTTTCCATGGGTTTGCTCCTCCTGTGGCTGCGCTTCCAAAACAGCCCCAAGAAGATTCAGGCAGTAATTTAGTGCAGTTATTTAATTAATATGTTCATTATATTATATATTAATATCTTAATATATAATAACATATTTTACTATACACCAATGTAATACATTTATATTACTATAATATATTAATATTGTTGTTAACATGTTTATAAAAGCTTTTCAAAAGGCCCTTTCAGACACCTGAAAATGTAATTTTTACCTACAGAAAACTGGTTATGGCACAGAGCAGTCACACCTCTGCAGCACCGAGTGGCTGCACAT